TTTCAAGCATTTTCATAAAAATGACTAATTATAGGTAGCTTCATATATCACTAATGAGTTGTTAGCTAATAGGTAGCTTCATGTATTATTAACCAAATTCTATGTGATACCAAAGATGTGTAATATGAAAGATGTATGGGAGGTTGTGTTGAGATGGTGATGTCAGCGATAGCGGGAAAACAAGTTGACTAGTCGTTGTGGTGTGGGATGAGGTGTTAATAGGAAAAGTGAATAGGAATTTACAGAGTTGTAAAGCTCTAGAAGATATGCACTATTTTCAAGTATCTGTGAATGAGTGAGAGGGAGCAAGAAAGCTGGGTAGGAGAGAGGAACGAATGGGTTTGAAAGGATATTTGTAAAAGCTTGGAGATATTTGGTGGGTGTAGGTGATATGCATGCTTTTAGTTGTTTCTTTTTTCTTTTTAGTGCACATATAGCCAAAGGAATGCTTACTCCAATTCTCAAAATCTATAAGGTATCCATTAACTCATATAAGCATGATCCTTGGAGCTTCTATACATACAATATGAAATTCACGCAAAACCAAAGTTGATCAATTCTATGTCAACTAGTTTAGACAGCTAGGTGTCTCAAATAACCCCTTCATATTGTTGTTACCCCTTCATAGCATTTGTTTGCTATTGTTTTATGCTCAAATGTCTCATGTATCTTAGATGATGCTAATGGTTGATTTTGCTATACAGGCATTCCTTATGGTTGTTTTATAAATCTAGTTGTTATGGATAAAAGGTATATTACTTTTCAGAAAAATATTACTTTAAAATATAGAATTAAAATGTAGGAGTTAGATTTTTTAGTAACAATTCATACGTTTTATGAATTAGATGACACAACCTCTTAAAGATAATTTACAAAAATGCCTGATCTTTTCATGAAGATTTAGGAAGCTCAGTCCACAGACCCAAAAATAACAAAAATTTGAGTAAGCATACTTCTTATGAGTTTTTTGATTTTAGGCTCATAAATGATGAATTGTGCAGATTTTGGGACCATATTTGGGTCCCTGTTGCTATCAGAAGGGATGTTCTCAAAGCTACCCATGCCTCTAAACTGTCCATTATCTTCAAAAGTACCAAGATGTACTGGGACCTGAAGCATCAATATTGGTGGCCTAGAATGAAGGAGGACATTGTCGACTATGTCTCTCAATGCCTTACTTGGCAACGGGTGAAGGCAAAACACCAGAGACCTGCTGGTTTGTTGCAAGGCCTTCCTATTCCAAAATGGAAGTGGGAGCATATAACAATAGACTTTGTCACCAACTTGCCCAAAACCTGTTCTGGTCGCAATGCCATATGGGTCATTGTTGACAGGTTGACCAAGACCGTTCACTTATTACCCATCAAAACAACAGATTCCACCAGCAGATTAGCCCATTTGTACATCGATGAAATTGTTTGACTCCACAGCATCCCCTCATCTATTTTGTCCGATTGTGATCCTCAGTATACCTACGATTTTTAGGACAATTTTCAAGAAGCACTCAGTTCTGGATTATACTTCAGCATTACTTATCTTTTCTAGAC